CATATCAAACTGTTTCCCCACTGCGATGGACATTTGTTTTTGTCGGTTCCAGCCTGGCGCGGCCGCTAACCCAGATGCCCTCCTGAGCAAATTTTCAAAATGGCGGACAAGCCAAAGAGAGAGATAAGAGAACCAAAGCGATTCTGCAACGAATACTCAGCATACACCCCTGTTAAAAAGGTCATTTCACAGAGAAAAGATACAAAATTGTATGATATTGAAGTCACGGAGGTTGACAAACCCAACAAGAGACTGAAAATTCACTACATTGGCTACAGTACACGCTTCGATGAGTGGAGACCCTTCGGGGTTCTGTCCTCGTGTACCGGTTCACAAGAGCCAATACAAAAGACCAAACAATACACAATAGCTAACCGATAACTCCTAAACAAAGAAAGAACAATGGTAATTCCCTTGTGAACCGGTACACCAGGACAGAACCCCCTTCGGGGACGGTGAAGCATCTGAATATTTTCCTTCGAAATTGTATAGATTAGTAGGCTGCAACAAAAATTTATTGGACGACGTTTAGGGTAAAAACAGCAATCTAACCTGAAAAAAATGTATTTATTCCGACTCTTTCGGAAAATAACTTTACAAATCTTACTTGTTTATCTCGTAAGTAAACGATGGTGAAGCGCTTTCCGAGCTACCCGATTCTTCTCCCACTGCTTTCACGCTTATAAAACAGGAAACGAGCAAAAGGAGGAAGGTGTGGCTGTTTTGACTAGCCATTTGACGAGGTTCAATCTGCTCCTTGTTCGACAATTTACATATCAAAACAAAGGAAATTTGTTCCTCTCTTTGATTTTGGCGGTACATTTTCAATTTGCGCTTGCGTAAGAGAGAAATCGCCCAAGACTCCTTGCTCGGTCTTGTTTTGACCACGAACGCCTTCTTAATTTTGACGGACCCGCTCGGGAAAAGGTGAAAATGACGAGGGAAAAACTTTACTTTGTAGTACGAAAATACACAAAATGGAAAGCCATGATATTATAGTTCAATATTTCGGTGGTACATTGTTAACTTTTTATACAGAGAGTCGGCAAGATGATATAACATCCAAAAATCGCACTCGATTTGAGTAGGCCGATGAAGTGGGCGTGGTCACGAAATTCAGTAAGAGACTATTTGTACCCCGTGAGTTTGATATGTATCGATCACAAAAACTTAGCGGTTAGGAATCTTGCTGTGATGTCACATCAGCGATATTCCCACAAAATTAAAGTATTTTCATTCATTTCTGTAGGAACAAAAGATGTGTTCTTGCTGTAATCTATTCACGCACGCCCTATAACGATTACGGATTATAGCTTCCGATTTATTTTCTTTGGAATGAACTCAAATTATTCACCAACCATAAAACTATTATGTCTGATTGTCGAAATATACCATAGGCCAATGTTTATGCAGATTTAAGATAAATAAAAATTCGACTGCTCTAATTTGACTTTTCTTCTAGTTAAGAAACTTGAGAACTTTTCTTCTAGGAGGCTAAATTGCTTACCTTTTGGTAAATCAGACTTTTAAGAGCACTGCTCATTCTGAGACCAACCACCTTACAAGTATTACACAAGTGATGTTCAATAACTGTCCCAATAAAGACAAAAATGCCCATAGCTGTCACACAACAGTACAAAAGAATATTTTTTTGTGGCTCAGCCTGCATCAGCGAAGAAACCAGATAACCTAGAAAGAGAGGTTGGAGAAAGCGCCGAAGTGCGTAGAATGCATGAGTGAGTAAAATGATCTTTGCCTCCTCAATAGAGATCATCTTTAACAGGCTTCTCCAGAGTTTTGGTCTTCGTCCATTCCCTTTGCATTCATCTTTCTCTTTGTTCCAGCTTGTTTGGAGGCGTCCGGCGAGAAAATCGGTAGAGTTTTCTTTTGAAAGGGGCACGAAGTCGTTCTCGTCTAAAGTTCTTTGTCTGCCTGTCTTGAAGATGTCATTCATCCATTGAAAGAATAGGAAAGATATAAAACTGACTTTTTCTGTCTCGTCTGTGGTGGATATTTTCTGGTATCCACCCTTCGTCATGACTCAACATCTGTAACCTGGTGATAATGTTAAAAAGAACTTTTATAACGGTAGTGCAAAGGAATGATATAGTTCACGCAGTTAAGAGTGTGTCATCTGCATTAACTCAGAACAATAATGAAAGCCTTTTATTGTTCTCACTACCTTCCAATTATACGAAACCGTGGAATCCACCAAATTACGAACTATTAGACTGAAATTCACCCATACAATAGGGCTGGAGTTTTATAGGTAAGGAACAATCTCAATTTTGTTTTCAAATAAGCTGAAGGTTTATGAAATCGACAAGTACCCCTTTCTTTGAGGGATGTTAGACTGCATTTGTCATTCACACACTCTTGATGGAGATTTTCCATAGATCTACATAATAACAGATTTGAAGGAGTGCGATTGATTGTTAATTTAGTTTCCTATGTAGAGCATTGCACTTTGGGTTTTTCTGGTGCCTTTATTCTAGGGGCTATTACATATATCCTTGAAGTCATTCGAAGTGTTTACAGGGAGCAGAGAATGAAGAGGTAAACAGAATGGACATGTATTATCACTCCAAGGGACAGGTTTAATCGTATTTTTGAGTAAGCCTCTCATATTAATGTTTTATGACATCCCCACTGACTTCGAGCTCAGGACTAAAAATAGAAACCATTTTATCGATCTTACTACCTTTCAATTATGCGATACCAAAATAGAAACTAGTGAAATCTATTCATCCACGAGAATAGGTTGCGAAACAAATTATTTTGGTCTGCAAGTTTCTTAGGGAGCATTATGCACACTTCGAAGAAATTTGTGAATGCAATAAGTAGACTATTGCCATCCTATGATGGGTTGCTGAACCCGGTTGTTCATTCGAAAACTCTTGAGGATGATAAACCACTTTGCATCAACCGTATTAAAACATTTTTAAGTCATTGAGGTTGAAACGTGTAGAACATAAGCCCACTTATGTCTCACCGGTAGCTAAGGTGTGGTGTAGAGTTGTGTTATGAGATCCGTCTGGGTAACGAGTGCGCTCTGTGATAGAAGCCTGCTTGAAAATCTGTGTTGTTGTTGTTGTTGAAAATTTGAATACGTATTGCGGGAGGTTTCTGTCGTATGGTTGCAATAAAAAGGAATAATTTTGTCAACAAATCAACAATTTTCTGTTTTTCCGTTGTGGAGTGGTTTAAGTCCCTATTTGACTGCACAATGGGAAAAAGTACAATTACGCAACCTAATTTTCTTTGTTCACATATGAAATTCCATGTCTTGCACTATTTCGATTCACTAATTGTGTGGGTTTCTTTATGCTTTTAAGATCCTGCGACTCAATAGGGCTGAGTAATTGAAATTTACAATTGGTCGCGTGATTAACCTCGTATCAAACGATGTTCGGCGACTGGAGGGGCATACTGGGGCAAATTGTTGCGTTGCCATTTTTGAGTTTTCCTGACTGGTACCGGCAATGGTAATATTACTTGTCTATTTTATCGGTTGGCAAGCTATTATGGGATTCATATTCCTTTGTTTTCTGGTGCACATTTCCTTGGATTATCCTATTTTTTAGTGTTACACTTCACCGCAGTACCTCAACAGTTACCGATAGGCGCATCTCTTCAGTGAACCTAGCAATTTCTGGAATTCGGGCCATAAAGTCATCTTGAAGAACAGACGCGGCCAAGCATTGGTTTTAGCATAAACCCCTCTAAAAATCGTCGTACTTTTGATTGTTTTGACTTGTTTTGACTGTATTTTGCGACTCTGTTAAAATTGTAAAAACTGTGCAAACCTTTTGAATCCGTAAAAAAGTTGATTTGAACTAACGAGGAATGTAACTGAGCGATGTCCGCTTTCAAGCGAAAACTTAGCCATCGGATTTATGAAATGTCAATTGAGACCTCTTCCCCAAAGGTATGCATTTAACACTCAACCATGGCTGAGGTGTGAAAGGTTACAAACATGACTACCAATCCTGCAATGGATGATGGGTGTCACTAAGATGAGTAAAAAAGGCCCTTCCAACCTCAGAGAAAAATGCCGGTGGCCGGGGGATTAAAAAACCTACCCTTCCCTCCCCTGCGATTTCCACACAGAGCTATTTGTTGGCGGGAAAAATGGCCCTATTTTACCCTCTCAGGTACCCTACAATAACACAAGAATCACTTTTTGACCAGCTCTCCAAGTACTCTATCATCTAAATGGTCTGCTGCACGATGTTATCTTTCGGATAAATAACTTTCCCAAATCCTTCGCCTGACACGGAAGTAAGTCTTATTTGTTCACTTCTAGTCATTCACTTGTATTTGTAGTGATGAAATAAATATCATCCGTAAGAAGAGTATTGTTCTATCAAGTGTTGCTGCTTTGGAGTACAGTTCAGTGTCACCAGCCATGCTGACGTCAGTCATTACACTGGTGCTTACTGGTCAACCTCGCCCCCCTATCAATGTGTTTATGCTTCTTTCATTTACCACTGTACTAAGTGGGACCTTTTGCGTTTACGTGCCTTATGGTTTCTTGGAGATTTCTATATGAGGTCTGTGTTTCACTCAAAAGGATTGAATACTTTCTATTTTTAGAAGATTTAATCGGAGTCCACAAGGTCTTAAGACAACAGACCAGCTGACAAATGTCTAGGATGAACCAAAGGAGGATTAGTCAGGTATCCCACAATTCCACGCTTCGAACTATATTATCAATTCACTCTAGTCACGTAATCACTCAGTCGAGATGGAGGTAGTTGAGATCAACA